GAAGAGCTAAGAAACAGATGTGGCTGGCTTTGCTTCAAGCAAGTTTTATGCATTTGAAATTCTTTGCCACTAGCTAAAATGATGCTGGTTAATTACCTTTAAATAGACTGGTAGTGAGTAGGAATGGAGAAATACAAGCCTAACCCTCCTCCTCCTAAACAGCTCAAATTGTTTTCTTGTCTGTGCGGGGAAGAAACTCATGGTGTCTGAGGATTTCAGATCACTTTAATATATTTTTTTTTTAATCTTGAATTATTGAGCAACTACAGATACATCAAATCTGGTTTAAGCATGTGAGTTTTACTGAAGTAAGCAGAAGTTATATGCAGATTTCTCAAATTCTAATATTTACTTCTTTTTTTCCCCCTTCTACAGACATAGGGCTGGGCAGTGACTCTGTATGCACACGTCCCTCATCTCATCGGATAAAATCTTTCGATTCTCTGGGATCCCAGTCTTCACATAGTAGAACTTCAAAACTCTTTCAGGGACAGTATCGGAGTTTGGTAAGTTCTAGACAAAATGAAACATGCTGCGGTGTGATTTTTTTTTTTTTCTTTTGACAAGATTTATGAGTAAGCAATAGTGTAGCAAAGTAACTGTCTCCTCTCTTTCACCTCTGTATTTCAAGCCTGTGATAGTCTATTTTTGTAGCTTTTCTTACGATGTTCCAAAATACATGCAGCTTTCTGTGAACTTCTAATTATTCTTTCCTCAGTTACCACTCCATGTTGTCTGCATACACAGTATCTTCCTGGATTTATTTCTTTTCAGCATGAGGACTTGCTTTTCCAAAGGCAAAAATCTCATTTTTTTTTTTTCCATGTCTGAGTTTAGGGATGATGATTGAAGGATACTCAAACCTCAGCAAAGGTGGTACTTTTAATGGTGGCAGTATTGGTAGTTATTCCTGTTTTCTGTTATGTTTCAAGGTGAATCCTTCAACTAGCCTTCAGGTAACTGAGTGGTATGTGTAGTTGTTTTACAGTACAGCTGAAATCACAATTAGTTTTAATACACTACTCCATCCTGATGAAAGGTGCTTTTAGTGACTAAAAGATTTGCTAGGAGGGTTGAGATCCCTACTGTAAACTGGTTTTTCCATGCTTGAAGGAGGTTGTTTTGAACTATGATTGTTACGTGAAACTTTAAACATGGTGCTCTGCTTAAGCTTTCTTAGGTGTGGTTTGGTGTGTTTTCTCTGGTAGCAGAGCCCTTGCAAGTTCTTGCCCTAGGCCACTAATTCCAGCTCCCACTCTGCTGTTCACCACCCACTCAGTTTTGCTGATGCAACTGTTTGTGGGACTAGCTGTTAGCCGGATTACTGAAGCAATCTGTTTTTTAAGTCTTTCTATCACTTTGGTTATCTGAGGAGCTCTGCAGAAAGTTGCAAAGGGGCAGAGAAGTGCAAGGAGGAGGGAAAGCGAGCTAGTGGCCAAACCTGGGAAATTCTTAGTTTGGTTTTGCTGCTGAGGATGATCAATTTGGAACTGTTCTCACCAAATTTGTACTCTGTTGCCTCTACTGGAGAGCCATCCTAGTAGAGTAAGGGGATTATAGTTGATGTTGCTGTGTAACATTGCTGCTGATTTTGTGGCTTTCTACCGTTTACTAAGGCAAAACTTTTTCTCTTGTTGAGCAGTCCTAGCAGATGAAAGCACATGATGCACAAGCAGAGGACTAAGGGAGAGGCACTTGTTTGAAAATATGCCGATCTAATTGTCCAACATGGGGACTGACAGTATCTTGGGGCTTTCTGCATGTTTTCAAAGTTGTGTTTGCCCTCATTTTCCTACAGTTTCTTAGCCACTAAAAGTCTGATTGTTAAATTGAGTTGTGATACAATAACATAATTGCTGTGGATATGAATTAAGCTCACACGTTATATGATCCCAGTCACATTACGTAGTACATCTTTTCATCATCTTGATTATATAGACATCATGTAGGTGAAATTCTGCTATCTGGATAGCTGACTGGGATTGCTTACACAGTCACTTTCTCACTAAGTTACTTCTTTAGTAATACAGGTATTGATCCTTACTTATGATAGAGACAGACATAATTTATAGTTCTGTTCTCTCAGTACCAGTGCATTGGATTGTATCTGGATTATTTAAAGCTGTCCAATTATTTAGCTTTTTTTAGCATAAAAGTTTGTTGTAACTCTCATGAAATGCTTAAATGATGCAGACATCCAAACTGACATCCAAGAACAAAATGCCAGATTTCAACATCGTTAATTTGAAGGACTTCTAAGAAGGAGCTATTAACATTTAGTTGTTACAATAGAGCGAAAAATCTGCCTTCACGTCTGTGATAGGGGATAAGTGCGTGTGTGTGTGTATATATATATACACACACACATATATATATACAGCTGCAAGTCAGACGTGCTGCAGACTTGCAGCTGTGCTCACCTTGAGGCAAATGATTCGTGAGTACTTTTTCAAGGTAAATTGCATAACTGTGTCATAGGTTTTGTGGAAGAACACTGTCCTCCTCTATTGGCAGGCCATGGAGACTTGCACATTCAGGTATGGAACCTTCCAACCTGATGTTTTACAGGAAAGAAAAAAAAAAGTTTTAAGCTGCAAACTATTTATATCCAGCATTAAATTAAACTCAGCTCAGTTCTACCCTCCTTCCAGCCTGGAAAGTTTTTTAGAGAAAAAACCTCTCTAATGTAAATCTGTTGTTTCTTTGTAGTTGCCAAAAGGAATTTTAATTTATACAGTATATAGAAAATACTTGATTTTGGGGGGGGGGGGAGTAAGAATTATTCTCATTTTAGCTCTGTCGCATTCTTCTGATTTGAAGGGGCTGTGTAATAAGACAGTGTACTCCCTGGACTGATACAAATCCATAGATTAAAAATGACAGAAATATTGGGAATAGCAAATCATCCCTTACAAATGCTTAGAGAAAAACATATGGGGAGTGCTGTATGTGGAGGAGAGGCTGCTTCCATTTTATGGATACTTCTGTTTCATTCATGGAGTAATTGTTTAAATCTCTATCATGATCTTTTTTCTTTGTGTTCTCACTTACTAGGACATGACAGATAACAGCAACCATCAGTTGGTGGTGAGAGCAAAATTTAATTTTCAACAGACAAATGAAGATGAACTTTCTTTTTCGAAAGGAGATATTATTCATGTTACAAGAGTGGAAGAAGGAGGCTGGTGGGAAGGAACGCTAAATGGCAAAACAGGGTGGTTTCCAAGTAACTACGTACGAGAAATAAAATCAAATGGTGAGTTTTGAAGGAGAGCATATTTGCACAAATTCTGGCTTTGAATAGAGGTTGATGGTTGATTGATTAATTAAAAACTGTAATTGTTTAAGCTTGACTGTATTTACTGAACTTCATTCACAGGAATCATTAATGCTCAGGAACTCATACTCCCGTACCCCAGTTTGCTATATAGAGTGCTCGAGGACTTTTCTGCATGCTTACTGTTAATTCTAAAGTTCCCCATTCTGTTTGCTTGTCTGTCTGTCTGTTGCAGTTGAGCTGCTCTGATTTCCTTGATCTGAATTCCTAGAATGCTGGATTTTGACTCTGATGCTGACATAAGTTGAATTGGTGCTTTGGGTTTAAATATTGAAGGATTTCCTGCAAATGTATTTAAAAACAACAAAACCCAAACAAAAACACCATCCCCCCAAACCAACAAAAACTACACCAAAAACATCTCTAAACATGTCCCATTACTTAAAAGCAAATAAATGCAGGAAAAAATCCCCAATTCTACTGAAATCTACCGGAAGCTGGAGACAGTTTTTCAAAGATCATGTATTTGTGACTTTTCCTTTTGTTTATTGTTCATGTGCCTTCCACTTTTATTTATACAGACTTCACTCTTTCATTAAAGTTTTATTTTGAACTTCATACCATGAAAGTTCCTTCTGTAAATGTCATCTTCATGACTGAATCTCGGAACTAACATTGCTTTTTAATCCACCAGGACTTTTTTTTCCTGTCTCTCTCTTTCTGCTTGCTTTCAGAGACTGGGGGTAAACCTGGTAGGATAAAACTACCCAGGGACGTTCTCTCTTTCCTTTGTCACAGCTGCAATCAAAACACCTGTATTTTGGGCCATGCTAAAATCATTGGCATGACTTTTTTTTTTAGGCAGCCATACAGATACATGATTGCAAACTGAAGTTGTGAGGGTAAAACTCCATTTCTAAACTTACTCTTTCTCGTCCAGTTGCATCCTCTTATTTTCTTCCTTGATTTGCTATCTGCAGTCCATTTTTGCAGAATGCTAAAGTCTTGGATCTGTAACTTTGTTGTCATTTTCAACTAGATCCTCTTGGGCATAGTCATGATGTAAGTCACGATCTAAGACTTAGCTTTAATGTTTTTCAGAGATCTCTCAGATGTGGCTTATCCTGAAAAACAATTCCCAAAGCCTGTTTTTTCTTGTCTGTAGTGTTGTAGCAGTCTTTGAGCCACGATGACTGTCTTGTCCAAACCTTATTCGTTTAAAACATTGCTGCAGAGGTCTTGTTTGGATTACATCAGTTTTGATGTCTTCTGACTCCCAAGACTGGAACCTGAGTCAGCAGTTAGGCTCCAGAATAATGGAAATAACTTTTAACAGTGAACATATGAGAACCAAAACTTGCCAGCAACTGAAATTAAGGTTGTTCTAGGATGATTTTTTTTTTTTTTTTTTTAAGAATACTTCATCTGGGTGAAGTAACTCTCCTAAGTAGGAAAGCCAACAAGCTATGGGACTGAAGTTAGTACCAAGTGCAGTTTGATTCTTGCCAGTCCTTGCAACCCTGTCTGATTCCTGGGGGCTGAGATGAACTGCTTCCAGTCCCTGGTTTAAATTTCACTTCTCACAATGAGGAAAGTTTTCTGCTAAGCTCTCTTCCCTCCATTGTACAGGTATGTTCCCTGGGCTACAAGGGCTTGGTCCTAGCTTCTGTAAGACTTCTTACATTCTTGAAGAACTCTCTCATATGCTCAGTTCCTCCTATGGAAGGGAATATATGCCCGTGCTTTTTTCTTTCTCAGGAAGTTGAGTTCATTGCTTTGTTTTCTGTGCATTTACTGACTATTACAAAGTTAAAAAGACTGACCCATAGCTCTCTAGCTTTCTCTATTTTCCTCTTCCTTTTTAAAGACAATTACTATGTTTGGCCTTTTCCAGTACTTTATGGAACTTCACTTGTCCTCTGTGGTTTCAAACATGGATATAGCTAGTTTACTCTTACTGCCAAATCAGCACAGCAGGTACTGTTTAATTTATCAAAACACTAGTTTTAACCTGCTTTTATGCCTTTGTAGGTATGTGTTTGAATTGTCTGAAGTTGACCTTTTTATAATGAGGATGGGGGTGGTAGAAGGAAGCATGACATATTAAGAGCTTCTTGATGTCTGTTAACTCTTCTTCCCTATTGAGTTGCAGATCAGCTTTCCCCCTTGATGTATGCATGCTATCGAATGTTTTGTTGCCGCTACCCTTATGTCCATGTTAGTTGTATTTCAACTGGTGACTTGACATTTTCTAGTTACTTTTGCTTCTTTTTGTGTGTTTGAGGTCACCGTAGTATTTGTGATATTTAATCCTGTCAATTTGCATCTACTTCTCCTGTTCTTCATTTAAGATGCCCCTAACTTTTAAAGGAATTTTGTCATTCTTGTGAGCCTTTTCCTCTTACATTGTCACTAGTGAGAATCCTTTTTTTACCTGTATTTTTAAGTTTACTGAATTCTTCTTACTTGAAGTTCATTATTCTCATTTTGTTGCTCTTTTTTTTTTTTCCTTTTTTCTTTTCTTGGTTGTTTCCATGAAATTTGTTATGAATGTTTTTATTCTCAACTGATTTCTGCTTTGTGGATGTTGTTGAAGGTGCTAGAGAGAGGGCTTTTCTATAATTCTCCTCCCTTCTATATCAAAGTGCATCACCACTGCATCCTGAGGTTGGATTTCTTTTGTTCCACTGTCCTTGTTGCAACAGGAATGTAGTGCCATTTAACACAAAGCTCTGCAGTTATACGGACAGCTCTGGTGGGTGTTCAGAAGTTTCATCTGGGTTCTGTGTATGGTTTGACAGTCTCTGTTGCTCTCCTGTGCTTCTGTTCTTTTTTGCTAGTCTTCATTAGACTGGTTGACACTTCTTGAGTTGATAGTCTTTCACAGTCCATTTTTCTTGACTTCCTGGGACCTATATATGCCTCACTTTAAGATGTTCCTAATTCAGAAATTTAAGTGCCTTAATACTTTAAGCATGAGGTTAAAACACAAGTGCTTTTTTTTTTTCTCTGATGTATTTTAAAATGAGTTAATAGAACTTGCTGTCTTGCAAGCTCAAATTCAAAATGTGTTTTCCATCAGCGTTACAATGAATGGATTTAAAAAAAGATCAGAATAGGATTATTGAAATACTTGCTCTTGGTTAAAGTCTCTTTATGAACAAAATGTTCATCCTGGACATTTAATTGGTTTTCACAATACTCTCTAAAATGTTCTGACATTGACAATATGACTCAACCCTTCTTATCTCAAATGTGGCTGAAAATACTTCAACTAGTTAGAAATTCTGTACATGCAACCCAGTGTTGTTATTTTTGATGGTTATTTGGAGAGCTCCTGAGAAATGGTGGGTTTGATTAAATAAATCCCTTCAGTCTGCTGTAACCTGACTTCAGCAAACTAGGTAACAGAACAAAGGAAAGCTGTTCTTTATGCATGCGTGTTTTTGTTTTAATTCTCACAAAATTCATAGACATTAAATTTTAGATAAATAGATTTTCTAAATTAAAATATTCTCTAATGTCAGATAACTGTATGTTTGTAATCCTAGCATGTACAGTTGCTCTGACGTTAGATATCAAGGAAAAGAAGAAAGAGCCTGAAGGAGAATCTGAAAAAATGAGATAATCTGAGATTATAATGTAGCAGTAGCTCTCTTTCCTGAGAGGGAATTCAGAATACTGGCTGTATGAAAGAGTTGCCATGAAGGAAACGAACGCTCAAATTTGATGTGCTACTTAGTAATGGGAACTACCTTTACCCATGTTTCTTCTAAAATCTTTTAAGAAAGCAAAATCAACTATATTACAATCTCTGCTTGTGCAATATACGTAACTTGTTTGCTTAGCTATACCAGAATGATTAGCATTAGCACGGAATGCTGATACATGTATGAGACGAGCTACGAATGGTTGTAGGAAAGATACTGAAATTATTGAGCAAAGCACCACATTTAGTTTTCCTAGGCTGGATGACGACTGTAAATTTGGGGGAAGTAAATTTGGTTGAGACAGGAGATGGTTTTTATTTTGCTTTTGCATGTGTGTTGTTTATTCTCCCCCCACTGGGTTTCTTTGAAATTGTAGTATTTATGATCAAACTTATAAATAAAAGGAAGAAAAAAAGTGGAGTAGTTTCTTTTCACGTGACAGAGAGTAAGAGATTTATACTGTGTAAACTTGTTAGATGCTTGACAATGTGGCCTTATTAAGTTGTTTTTTTTAATTATATTAAACAGAGCAGGGAGAGGTGAAGGTGTAGGTGGAGCCTTGTCTCTTACACTGCTGCTTGCTTCTGTCTCGCACAACAGGGAGATTTGGAGACTTAGTTCTGAGAGTTCCCTTGTGGTGAAGAGAAGAGGGGTTAGCCAGAATGGGATGCGCTTGCTTGGCTACTGTCAAATGTTAATCAGATACTTTATAAAAAATCATATAGTCATTTGCTGGGTTTTATCAAAGTGTAATCCATTTAAATGGTATGAGATTATGTAGAAGGGAATATAGCTTTGAAAAATGATATTTGATATGTCACAAACTTTATTCTAATTCTTCACAGAAATTAACATGTCATTACTGTCCCAGCCTCTCTTGTGTTCTGCTTTCTTGACAGTTCTGTTAGTATCAGGCCCAGTGCAAATTACAGTGTTAACAGTTCTTCTGGTTAGACATTTAAAAAAAAATAAAAAAATCACAGTGCGGGAAAAGGCCAGTGTATAGTGGAAGAGTAGAGTATCTCCTATTCCCATCCTGTGGTGCATGAGGGAAGGACAGGTACACTTTTAGCTTTGGTGGACCCCCCCCAAACCCAAAAACCACCAAGAAAGCTAGTTTTGTTCTCCCCAGCCATGTGCACTTGGAGGGGTCTTTTGTTCTCCTGTCAAGTATTACTCTACAGTCATAAATAGAATACAGTTTGGGACAAGTGAGTATTACTAGGGAAGAAGTGTCGGTAGTGCCGTTGTTGCAGAGTGGAGTTACAG